GTTTTGTTTAGTGTGTTGTGGGTTGTGTTGGGGGGGGGGGGGGTGGACATGCATTAGTCTATGCACTTGCATATTTAAAGGAGAGGTGAGTGATTTCCATGCATCCTCACAGTTAGGGCCGACCTGTGACAAAGAAGCTGTCACAGGTCGGCTCTATTGATCGGGAAGTGAGCAGAAACATGCAGCCGATCCGCTCACTTCCCGATCGTCTCTCTGCAGTGAGCTATGACTATCAGTCAATCCCCACAGGGATTCCCCCCTCCCCTCTCCGATCCTCCACCACTGAGTGGAGGAACAGATGGGGGAGGGGGCGGGCACATCTGGCTCTGCCCCTAGATAGGCAGAGCTGGCTGTCACTCACGCAGCTGGGGGATCACAACAGTATTGTCGGCATCTGTCCCGGCTGCAGCGCTCTTGGTATATTGCGGGCAATAGCTCACTATATACTGAGCTTTGGGTCACCCAGGAGCGGGGACCGGGTGACACCCACCACGTCATTGCGCATGCGCGTGACGTCATTGTGCATGCGCGTGATGCCGTTGTGCATGCGTGGCTATCCAATTGACGCCTGCCGCTGGCCATCTTGGTGATGGATGCCGGCAGAGAGAGGAGGGGACGTTCACCAGCGGGGTAAGGTATGCCGCCGGGTCCCCTCCTCTTTCCTGAAACTGTTGGGTTCTTGGTCCATGACCGAGTGCCTTGGTCGGCCAGTCCGTAATGTCAGTACGGGGGGGGGGGGGCGACGTTGCTGTCTTGCCTAGGGCAGCAGGATCTGTAAATACACCACTGACTTGATTGCATTTTCAAGTTGAGTTTAGTGTCACTTTAAGGTTGTATTTATGGATGTAAGGGTTGTTATTTTGCACACTATTTATCATTTAGTAATTTTCACTTTAGGAATGATTATTTAGGGCGCAGTGCAATTTTTAGATATTGTTGGGGTCCACGCTGCTTGCTTGTGACAGGTGGAAGGGAAGTGGGAATACCAGCCGGTGACGGTGATTGTCAGTCATTGCTGAGCAATCAGCAGTTACATGATTGCTCAGCTCTCTGCATTAGTAAATGTACTCCTATGACCCAAAAGAAGAAGTAAAGCCCCCCCCAAAAAAGGTTTTGCATTACCTCCCTGTTAAACAGAGCTTGTGTGATCTTGCGCAACATTACAGCATTCAGCTAGAGTAGCTATGGGGGGCCAATCCCTGTGCTGGGAAGCTGAATCTGACAATGCTACACATTGTTGAAGACAGAGCAGTGAAAGTCCTCCTAAACTGTGTACGTTAATGGAGCTCTCCAGATCCCTCCTCTGCATCCTAGTACATCAGTGTTTTCGCCTGTGCTGGCAGGGAGACTTGCACTTGAAGAGCTTACATCCAACATGTTAAAGAGTGAAAGAAGCAGATGGAATGACAGCTGAAATGACGTGTGTAGTAAGGCGGGGAGGTCCCTGAGAGGAGCAGATCACAGGCAGTGGGCATGGCTTCAGCCCGGCTCAGAGACTGACTAGGGAGTAGCGCTGTGCAGGCGCTGTCCACTTCTCTGCTGGTTCTGAACTCTGGCCCCGAGCCAGCTGCCATCTCCTGCCCTCCGCACAAGGGGAACCGCATCTCCGGACTCTGCTGGGGGAGACTGCTCTGTCCTCTATCTATAGACTTCACTCCGGAACATCAAGAGCAATCGGGGAAAGGAAACCTAGCTCTGGAGATCGCTTCATCACTTGTTGTTGGGAATTAGATCTTGCTGTAACCTGAATACTTTTTGGATTTAGTGTGCGTGCCTCCTGGCTTTGATTTGTGCCTGGATTACCCTAAAGCGCATGTGAAGTCTTCACCCAGCTCAGGTACAGTGTTTGGATCCTGATAGCAATGGGTTATACTAAAGTGTGATGTATATTCTTGACAGCAGGAGCACATATGAAAGGAAGAATGGGCACTTGCTCATCTACTGTTAGATTAGTCCACACGGAGGATCAGGTCACACTAAGCAACGATCGCATTACTGACAAGCCTGGAAACTTTCCATGAAGTTAATATCAAAGTTTCAACCTCTGCTGCATGCATGGAAAGCAGGAGGGAGATGGTGATGTGAGATCTTTTTTAATGAGCATTCCATTCAACTCTGGTGATTGGGTTGCAATGGCACTGTGTAGTCTTGCTTCAAAGCTGGAGTTGAAAGAGCCTGGGTTGTTGTATGGGCTGTCAGCCTTGAGATGATTTGTTTCTGTAGAGTGCTGTGTACAGGTTGTGCTGTGCCTGGAGTGGATTTTGAATAGTAGGGGGTATATGCTTAGTTTTCTGAGAGGCCACAGATCGCGAGCACATTTGTTTCTGCACAATGTCAGCTGCTCTATCGCTCTCCACATCACAAGCTGGAGAGAGAAAAAAGAAGCAATCTCCATAGACAGCTTTATTAACAGCTGCTCCAAGATGGTCACAATACTACAAGTGATAATGATAAGCCTCCTGTTTCCTGAATGTGTGATTGCTATGAATTGCTGAGTTTTATGAAGTGGGCATAGGGCATATTTTGCTTTATTACATGGATCTTGGTGGAAGTATAAGCAGGTTATAAAATGTTATTCCTTACGGTGTGTGTGTGTAGTGTGCTGCTCATTATATAATTGCAATCTGTAAGCTTTTTGGCTTGTGTAGAAGATTTGCACTAATCGTATTGATCTAACAGAATACAGAATGTCATGTACATGACAAACTCATTTGTAAAGTGAATTAAAACTGGCTTGTGGCAAGGAAAATCTAAGCGCAGTTCATGGCCATTTCCATAGGAGTGCTCCGTGAAACAAGCACAGTGGTCCAGCTAACATACTCCTGAAGACTAATCTAAAGCCTTCAATACATAAACATGTTATAAAAGGGGAGAACTGGAGAGTTGGGGGGTGTTGGCCACTGAAACCAATCAGAGCCATCTGTACATTTCCCAACTTCTTTTAGAAAAATGTGAGCTGGAAGAGGTAACTCCCCCAGTTTTAGAGAAAAAAGCAGCTCTATTGTATTCTCTCAATAGCACCCTGACATCATGATGCTTGAATTGCTTATGTCTATGCACACCTTTATCTCCCTGCACATGCACACGTTTCATCTATTTGTAGGTGACAGAGCATTAAACCCATAAGGACTGATTTCTGAAGTTTTGTGACTGCCACTTTGCTGACGCCTGACATCTATAACCATCACAGCTTTCACTTGCTGAGTCAAATGAATGTCAGAAAAGAAATGGCAGCTACTCTGTATTTTATAGAGAACACTCTTTTATTTCACCCTTTCAAGGAATAATGCACTTGGCTTCTGTTCTCCCTTAAATCGCCTTCTATTTTCCTGCAAGCAGCAAGAATTTTATTTAAGCTTTTGTATGATCCTCTTCCAAATGACCAGTGATTCTAAAAGACAAGTTGAATAAATATGGCAGAGCAGGGAATATTCATATAAGTATAGGTATATCCCCCCCCCCCCCATGTTGTGGACTTGAGATG